CCAACCACCACTGCTGCGCCACCACCGACCAACACCACCGCTGCCCCACCAAACACCACCGCCTGCCGCCACCAATCCACCACACCACCGCCCTTGCCGCCACAACCAACACACCGGCTGCCGACCACCAACCCAACTCCGCCCCTGCCACCACCTCCACCAACACCCGTCCCCCGCCCACTCCACCTCCACCGCCCGCCACCTCACCAGACCAACACCACCGCCACCACCACCACACCACTGCTGCCGCCTACCACCCCAACACCACCGCCCTGCCACCACCTCACCAACACCACCCAGCCGCATACACCTCCACCAACGACCACCGCGCCTACCCTCCCTCCACCGCCGCCCCGCCCACCACCACACCCAACATTCGCCACCACCACCAACACCGCACGCTGCCCGCGCCACCACCATCGACGACACCGCCTGCTGCCCTCCACCACACCAATCCACCACCGCTGCCCGCCTCACCACCATCAACACCTGTACCCCCCCTCGCCCCCCCCCCGTCCCCGCCTGCCCGCCCACCACCATCAACACCGCCGCTCCCGGCCAAACCGACCGACCAACACCACCTGCCTGCACCCGCCACCACCATCAACAAGCCGCCGCCTTGCCTGCCCCCACCACCGATCAACACCTGCCGCTGCCCTGCCTGACCACCCACAACACCACTTGCCTGCCGCCCCCACCAACACCACCGTGCCGCCCATCCACCACCAACACCACCGCCTGCCTCGTCCCCACCACCCAACTACCACGCTGCCCGCCACCACCACTACCTACCGTCCTGCCTGCCACCACCACCAACACCACCAGCTGCATGCCCCACCACCAATCAACACCGCCCGCTGCCCCGCCACCTTCACCATCAACATCACCGCTGCTTGCCCTCCACCACCAACACCAACTTGTGCCCGCCCAGCCAACCCAACACCCCGCCCTTCTCTATGCCGCACCACCAGCCATACATCCACCTGCTGCCTGCCACGCACACCTAACACCACCTGCTGCCCGCCACCGCTACATCAACAACCGCGTTCCCCGGCGGCCACCACCACCAACACCACCGCGCCACCACCATCCACCCAACACCGACCCCGCCCCCGCCGCCGCCCGACCACCGTCCACCACATACACCGCCGCCACCACCTCCACCAACACCGCCGCCCGCCGCGCCACTCACCACCAACACCGCCGCTGCGGCCACCCCTCCACCAACACCCACCGCTTATGCCCTAGCACCTTACCTACGCAACACCCACCCGCCCGCCACCACCTCCACTTCCACCGCCACCACCACCAACACCGCCACCACCTCCACCACCGCCACCTCCACCTCCACCGCCGCCACCACCAACGCTGCTGCCACCGCCACCACCGTCGCTGCTACCGCCATTGCCACCATCACCACCAACGACAACGACAACAACAATGACGACAATGACAACGACAACCACACTGTTGTTGTGACAACAGCAACAAACAACAGCAACACCAACACCAGTAATATCAATAACGTCCTCTGCTTCAAAGCACATTTAATGAACGAAAAGCTCTATACTACCAAATGACTATTTCTCTTTGTCTGTATGTTTCTCATCATGTAGTATAACTTCCCCCCTTCACTCTTGCCTCACACACACATTCCACCTTGCAGAAGCTGTACCAAGGAGGAACTTGACAGTACCTGCGTCGCTAAGGCGACGAGAGGCTCTGGCGATCGGAAAAAGCTGCGGTTCAACGTCACCGATGTCGTCCAAAGTCAGTAATTATTAATTATCCACTCTGATGGCGATTAGCTTAACGAGGTTCTCGAGGGTCGACTTGCTGAAACGCCAAAATTTTCGCCGATTGTCTTCGTTGGTTATTTTTTTTCGTCCTCGAGTCGATGTCTGCGGATGCGTGACATCGGCGGCTGCGTTGCTTTAGTCTCCCCAGCGGAGTTTGCCTGTTGCGGTGTGATGTCGTGCGTAGTGATGTTATATCGATGATTATATTCGAAAGTCAGTCGTTTGCAGTGACAAACTAAGCGCCTGATTATGAAAATAAATAATAGATTATCAAAATAAATGATGAAACTTTAGCTAACACTTTAAAATTCATAATCAAAATTCACACTCAAAATCAACTAAAACAAACGCTATCAAGCATAGGTTAATTGTTTTAAAACAATCTAGTTTTTAGCTCACCTTGACATCGTCAAGCTGAGCTATTGCCATGGGTCGTCGTCCGTCGTACGTCCGTCCGTTTCTCCGTCAACATTTCGCTACGGTCAACGATAACTCAGGAACCGTTTGGCCCACATGTTTGAAATTGGGTCTAGTTGTTACTGCTATGCTCCCATATTAAACGTCCTATTTTGGAGCACGCCAGTCGACGTACTTTCGAGCCACGGCAATTTTTTTGGCAAAAATGGGAATTGCCATTAGTCAGTTCAGGTTCAACGCATTTTTTGCTCATTTTTGGTATCGTGGAATTGCAATAGGCGGCTAGGCGGTTTGATATTTAACAAATGAAATTATGCAAATTGGGTAGGGTTGGCAATTATAGTAGCAGTATTATAGATAGACACAAACCAGTCTCGTGGATGTCACACTTGCTCTGGTTCGTTTTACAAGATTTCATTGACAATATCTTTAATGCCCCAAAATTGGTATTTCCTTTCACCCTTGCGATAAAACGTCTATATTAGAGAGTAACAAGTTTTAACAAAACATTGTCGCCGAACGCAGACATTAACCTATTTATTTCAAACGGCCATCGCTACAATAGTTGCGTATTAGCGCCATCTACGGTCACAAATTAGTGAATTCATTTTTGCGTTTATAAATATTATATATTCGTGAATATACCTAGATGGCCAATCCTTTCTATGATGTAGCCGTCAGATGGTTGCTCTGAATTAACAACTGACTTCTTCTACTCACTGCATTTGGTCTTTTTTGTGGTTGAGCTACAGAGTGTCATCTGACACTTTCATTAGGATGTTTATTAGGTTATCAAGGGCCATAAAAAGCAAATCAAAGATAACCTATTAGAATAGGTTTGATATTTGTCTAAGATTGAGCAGTTATATAGACAAAACGCATAATTTATGTGCATATGTTTATAAACAATAGCCCGGACCACGACCAATATTCTACCAGCACAAAGCACTTTCTTTATCTTAAAAAAATTAAAGCCTATTTAAGAACCTAAATAATGCCTAATTTCCCAGTAATACACCAATATATTAAGTAAACCTTTTTTAGGCTAACTTGGAAAAAATGCGAGGTTATTTTACTGATTTGCCTTTTGAAAAGGTCTTGAAATGTGTCCTTGTAATTTTGTTAAAAAAAAAAACTTGGCTACGCATTCCTGGTCATATATTTCTTATTAGTTGAAAGCTCCAAATGATATTTTTTCTAGAAATAAAAAAAACACAACAACTAAGTTATACCATAATAATTATCTATCCAAATTTAAATGGTTATTCTTTATCAAACAAAGCGTGTCTTTTAAATTGTAACTTATTTAAGCAATAGTCAAATCAGTCAAAAGATTCACACGATTTGAAAATGCCTTCGTGCGCTGGGCTAATCGTCGACGTGGATTTGGGAATCCTGTGCTTGAGCCTTTGTAATGGATGACTGCACCAATTATTCTACCAGCAACAAGCACTTCTTTTTCTTAGAAAACTAAAAAGACTATTATAGAACTGCTAAATAGCCTAATTTCCCAGTAAACACCAATATATAAGAACCTTTTTAGGCTAACTTGGAAAAATGCGGGTTTCACTGTATTGCCCTTGAAAAGTCCTTGGAAAAAAACATCTGTATGAGCCATGGTAGAATAGTGGGGCAGATATGTGAAAGAATTGACACATACCTGCCCCACTAGAATAGGTTGTGCGTGAAATTCCTTCGAGGTTGTGGTACGAGGTAAAGCTAAACGATGGTTGCTGGTGTCTTTTCTTTGTTTAGTTTGTTTGTTGTTTGTTTATTTGTTTGTTTGTTTGTGGATTTGTTTGTTGTTTGTGCATTCGTTTGTTGTTTGTTTATGTTTGTTGTTTGTTTATGTTTGTCGGTTTATTTATTTGTTGTTCGTTCATTTGTTTTGTGTTTATGGTCGTTTGTTTGTTTGTTTGTTGGTTGTGTTAGTTACTCATTTTATTAGTTTGTTTACGTGCGTGTCGTGGCATTGTAGTACTCACCACGACCGACGGCAGCGGCAGTGATGACGACATCCGTTACAGCGACAACGTCGACGACATCTCCTGCTGGAGTCGGCGGCGAAGGCTCGAGCAGCGCCACCTACCCATGTCTCCGCAGGACAGGTTCGCGCACGCTGGGTTCGCGCCGATGTGATCTGTAGATCCAAGAGATTTAGAGGGTGTTTTTACCCGCGCGGCACGCCTCGTTGATATCATGCTTGCCTTACCGACACGGACACCAATTAATCGTTTGAGATCAAAATAAAGATATATGTGGTGTCATATATTTCATATATTACGTGTCCGTACAGCAAGCTTTTCGGACGTGGTCTATATGTGTGTGCGTGCGTGCGAGCCGAGCGTGCGTGCGTGTGCTTGTATATGTATGTAATTATTTGAAAATGTCTCGTTCCCGCAATCAATCTGGTTTGGAGTGTGGCGTCACAGATAACGGCCGAATAGCCGCGGTTCACGTTTCTCCCGGCTGGCCCACCGACCGACTGACCGAGCGCGGGTTGTGGCGACCGTTAAGATGCAGTCTGCCTCCTCGTTAAGCCTCATTAATTCATGCTCGTTAGTTCGTGCTCGCTTATTCTTGATCATCGTTGCTTCTCTTCAGCTCTCCCAGCGAGCGCTGCTACCTGTGTCAAAAGATGATCCCCTTCAAGGCCTACCCGCGCCACGTCTCACGCTGCATCGTCGCCCGCGAGGGGGCGCCACCCGCATCCACGCCCGCGCGCACAGTCGAAGGTGAGCGGCTCACCTCCCTTCGCGATGGCGGCGCCCTCTTCGCGTGCAGCCTGCAACTGTTCCCGTCTCTGCTACGCGATCGAATGTAATAGCCGACGGCGTCAGATTTTGTTTTTCACGCGCGCGCGGGGTTGTTGGTGTTCCGAGGATTTCCATTCGTATTGATGGTAAAGGTGACGATGACGCGTTCTGCGCATTCAACCTCACCCCCCTCGCATTCTGTCGTCTGCAGATTCGGACATCCACGACGACGACGACGACGACGATGACGTCAAGGT